ATATATATATATATATATATATATATATATATATATATATATATATATATATATATATATATATATATCTACTGTTTTCAGCAGCAATGCTGGTCTTCCGCTAATGCAAAGGACACTAAATAAGGCACTAGAGCTTCCAGACCAGCATCTGTTCCCTTGTCTGCATCTCAACATCACATACTCTTATATGAGAAATGAATAGGGATGAACTTTACTGGGCACTTACAGAAAAATGAAATCTGTGAGGGGCATCCAGTTGAAATGAGCTTACATTCATATTCAGCCATAATGATACTAAAACAATGTAGACATTCAGATGCTTTTATATTTCAGAGAACTAAACTGACATCTGAAGACTGAGAAGTGAGCAACTTCATCATACTCCTCCAGGAATCAGATGTTTAAAACCACTTTCATCCAGTTCATAGTTTAAGTCTCAAAGTAGCGCTACAGCATTAATCCAGCTCTGCACAGTGTCTGGTGGATACTAAAAATGACCGTATTTTTGATTATAACGTCTCATGCATATGTATTTGATTAGTAGGCTAAGATCACGATTCTACACGTGAGGTAATTCATTTTAGAACGAGGTCGTGTGTGCCAGTGTTTTCTTTCTGAAGGATGACAGACTCGTAGGAATGAAAGCACACATCAGGAATGTACAGAAGGGGAAGGGAGCGAGCTGGATTAGCTCCAGACGTCCTGCGAGTAGCGTCCTTTAGTCATGAGTTTCTTGACGTAATCCACCGCCTGCGCGCGGCTCAGTCCTCCCAGCTCCTCGGCGATCTCGTAGAAGGCGTTCTGGACGTCGCGAGCCATGTTACGCGCGTCTCTGCGGAGGAGAATGACGGGGAGCGTGAGAATGGTTAGAGAGACGCTCTGTATGTTTTGAGGTGATGTTTACGCACCCGCAGATGTAGATGTGAGCGTTGTCGGAGTGAACCAGCCTCCAGACGGCCTCCTTGTTCTTCTTCAGCAGATGCTGCACGTACACCTGGAGGAAGCACAAATCAAGTCAGTGATGAGGAGAACGGGTTGTGTTTAATCTAGGGCTGCTGATTTGACGTGTTAATTTGGTGCGACTGATTATGGAAAAAGTACTTTGTTAAAATAATGCATTGAACGCAGCTGTCCAGACCTGTGCATCATCTATAAAAATGCCATTATATCAGGGACATTAAAGTTCCCTTGCTTCATTCATTCCTGAATGATTCAGCAGTTAGAACGAATCAATTGAATGAATGACTCAGTGATCAAATCAGTGACTTGCTGCCACCTGCCGGCGGATTTAGTTTCACTTTTACTGTATAATTTCAGTTATTTAAAAAATTTAATATTTCTGTATTCAACATTTTATATTTAAAACATTAATTTGACATGAATTTGAATTGCACTCATGCCACCTAAACGTCTGGAAATGTACCTACAAGCCACTTTTGTGTTCTTCTGTGCCACCTCTGTAGAATAAATTAATTTATTAATACTAATTTCATATGATTGGTTACTTATTTGTCTTATTCTACTTCTTATTATATTGTTTTAAATATTTAAATATTGTTTATTGTTTTAAATAGAAATTTTAAAAAGCTTATAAAACTCTGATCGTGATTAAACCAGAAAAAAATAAAATAAATGAACAAAAATTTCCTAATTAATGCTGTTCAGTTGCTTTGACACAATCTGTATTGTTAAAAGCGCTATATAAATAAAGGTGACTTGACTTGACTTGACATAAATTTGACCGATGCCAAAAATGATGCCATTATAAAAGGTAAAAAGAAAATACTCCTGCAAGTCACTTTAAGGAGTCAAATGTCACCTCGGCTAATCTTTTATTAGAATTTTTTATTATTGATCAGAAGGTGCTCCTAACTTTTTAAATTAGCAGGACAAGTGCTCCTGACTGAAATTATACGCTAAAAATGAAACAAAATGCGCCGGCAGGTGGCAGCAAGTCACTGATCTGATCACTGAGTCATTCATTCAATTGATTCGTTCGAACGGCTGAATCATTCAGGAATGAAGTCTTTATGAACTGACGGAAATCCATCGTAGTGACGGAACACTTTAATCCCCGAGTTATATTCCCTAAAATTCAAGATACGATTTAATCTCTTATTGCTAAACTATATCAAATGATATAAATATATCACACCAGCGTTGTTTTTCACACCAGTGCTTTTTCCCCCTGAATATCTGCACGACTGCAAATGTCATATTGACTTGACAGTTCAGTAAAGATTTTTTGACACAAAGTTTTCAATACTGTTTTTGCTCAATTTCACACATGAAAATAGTTCCGATCAAAGTCACAGCAAAACTATTGTGCGTCTGTTTCATTACTGAATGAATGCATTAAATGAATCGAGTGAGTCAATGATTCATTCATACAGAGAGTCAGTTGATTTGTTTGAACGAAACGGTTGAATGAATAATTCAATGACTCACTCATTAAGACACTTGTCACCAGCTACTGTTAGTTTTCGTTTCATTTTGATATTTCATTAAAAAAATAATTTTAATATTAATTTTTAACCCATTACTGCCCATTTAAAACTCATTCATTTCATAGCATTGTTTAAGCATTTCTAACTGAAGTGCAAATGCATTCATGGCTATGTAAATACACAAATAGCATTTCAGATGCTTTAGTTATGTTTATACTGTAGCCTTAACAGTTTGTGTGCGATTAATTCTATGCTGAATAAAAATATTTCTTTATAAAGCTACTTTTTTGTATGATCTATTCAATGCTTTTCTCATTTAACCCAACAATGACTTTAAACTATCGTTTGGGGGGGTAATTTATTAGCCCAAATTAATGTGCAATTAGTTTAATTAATCAGCACATCATATAATTAATTAGATAAAAAATTGTAATCGCTTGACAGCCTTAGTTTAAACACAATTGATAAAACAAATCATTTAAGGATGTTGATGGATCAACACAGTTTTTGACTAAATATTCCCGTTAGATGGTACAGAGAGGGCATGACGAGTACCTTCATGCTCTTAATTAGAAAAACTATTCTCAAAGGTATTTTAGGGGATGTTTTTGAACGTGGGCCGAGACGTAGCCTAGCACGAGCGCTACCTTCTCGGCCTGGTCTCTGGAGAAAGCTACATTGAGTGCCGTCAGAACCCCAGTCTTCTCGAACTCCTCCAGTTCCTCTTGGTACAGGAAGTCCTCGTTCTTGTAACGGCAGCCATAGTACAACACTGTCTCTCCAATGTCCTTACCTGCAAACGTGAAATCAAGATATTAATGGCATGACCGTGGGCTTGTTGAGACACTAGAGTGATAGTGAAAGCTGACTGAACTGAACGGTTACCTCTGGCAGTGACTGGTTATGTATGAGTAGGGTTGGGTATCGAGAACCGGTTCCAAGTTTACAAGAACCGGGTATTCGATAGGACACGTGGATTTCAATTCCGCTTAACGATTCCTGCGTTCGCATTTTAATGTGATTTTTAAACTATTTAAGCACAGGAAGGGAAAGAACTTGCGCACTGTTTGCGTGCAGCGCACACATCTGAAGCGCGAGCACAGAGAACAGCGGTCCCGATGTGGGTTCCCGATCTGTGTCCGTTCTCGAACCGTTCCGTGCATTTCCACAAGGGTTGTTCCGGGCCGGAACTGACTTCTCGCTCACATTTATCGACCAGTATGCACGAAATACGTCAGTACATCTTCCTAAACACAGCCATTTTTTTTGTCTTAAGTGAACGTAAACAGATGAGAAAGAAAACGCATGTGTAACAGTATTTTTAGATCCGCGTGCGTTCGAAATTAAAGAGACAGACACCTAATAAACACGCTGCCTGTCAATAATGAGGATTAATCTATTTTTTTATGAAAAGAAAACTATGCAGTGTTTTTAAAGGTCCCCTGAAATGCTTAGAAACACGCAGCGTTACTCTGTGTTGACGTCATTTGAACTGAAACAGGAAGACAGGGCGGGACATATCAAGCAGCCCCGCCCCTTTTTAAAATAGCCAATAGCGTTCGTTTATATCCCAGCCTGGGCTAGAGCCGTTCAGAGCCGTTGAGCTCCGTAAGGCCGCATTTGACACAGTATGCCAGCCACAATCTCATCCATATTGCTATAAAATATAGCATTCTGTGTAGAATTCAAATAGCTCCGATACATTTTGTGGTCTGCGCCGACTCGTGCATGTGATCCGCTCCATGCTATCGTGTCTCTGGACCGGAGCAGAGTGTTTTGATTTCAATTTCTGTACTTGAAATTTGTTCAGTTTTATTTATTTATGCTATTGCTAACGGATTTGTTTATTCCTGATTTATTGCTTACTGTTTACTTGTCTTTAATAATTTAATGTTTGGAATTTATATTCGTCTAGTTGTGTTTTTTCCCTGTGGTATTTGTTTGGTAGGCTAAAACCATAGGCAAAAAACAGAATAAATAAGTTTGACTTAAATTTTTTTAATGGTTTTGTTTATTTTATTGGAATCGGAATTAAGAATCGATAAGAATCGGAATCGATCAAATTCAAACGATACCCAACCCTATGTATGAGTGGAATAGGGTGGGAGATACATAGATAAACATGGTTTAAGTGCAATAAGAAGCAAAAGAGAATTCAGTTCTGACAGTTTTCGATGTGCACACACCTTTGTGTTGCGTCACACAGCACAATTTTTCATGGTTTACTATGTTTAAAGGAATGGTTTACAGATGAATGAAAATTAGTCAAAAATGTATTTCACTCTCAGGCCATGCGAGATGTAGATGAGTTTGTTTCTTGATCAGATTTGGAGAAATGTGTCATTACATCACTTGCTCAGCAATGGATGCTCTGCAGTGAATGGGTGCCGTCAGAATGAGAGCCCAAACTGCTAAAATACGAGTTCATAATCCACAATAACACTTCCTCCAGTGAAAAAGTCCATCTCCTGTTGTCTCCCACATCAAAATCCACCTGCATATTTGTTTAGAGCCGTTTTGGCTTGTAAACAGTGCTTGATCTGATTCAGACCAGAACACTTTTTCACTCGAGGAAGCGTTATTATGGATTATGGACTCAGATTTTAGTTAAAAACGTCTTAGTGCTGGATTTGTTTCAGCTTTTTTCTCCTCAAGACATTAACTGATGGACTGGAGTGCTGTGGATTACTTGTGGATTATTGTGATGTTTTTATCAGCTGTTTGGACTCTCATTCTGACGGCACCCATTCACTGCAGAGCATCCATTGCTGAGATGCAATGACACATTTCTCCAAATCTGATGAAGAAACAAACTCATCTACATCTCGGATGGCCTGAGGGTGAGGACATATTCAGGAAATTCTCATTTTTGAGTGAACTATTCCTTTAACAGTCAAATACACCAAAATGCCTGTCTTGGCGAGTATTTACATTTCCGCAGACAAACCTGCCTGAAGAACTCTTTATTTCATTTGTATATTTGTTCTATTATATTTGTCCTGTTGCATGCAATAAGTTTCTTTGTTTTTGTTTTATTACTGACCGTTTACCTGTCTTCAGTAATCCACAGAACGTTTTTCTTATATTAAGCTAACATTATATAAAATGCATAATTGTACATTTCAAATTAATCTAAAATATTGCCAATTATTTCCCCCCAAAAAAGCAGCCCTACAAATGACCTTTTGCATTTTAAAATGATATTGCATTATTTTAAAAATCAATTGTGATTGGTCAGTATAATAATGAGCCTTTATCCTGTTATGTCAGTGCAGTGATAAAAACTCCCTTGGGCTACAGTGTATGAGAGAAAAACATCAATTATATGCTTTATATTATATGCACCTGATTAAAGCACATAGGAAGTAAAGGATCAGAACAAAAGTTCAAAGCAATCACTTTCAGTTCATTTTGAATACATTTACGAGATGGCTCAGCCTCCTTTTGCCTCCTCTGTCTCTGATACTGAAGAAATACTCACAAATGTTGAAACCAAGGAAGCACTTAGCAGCGTTTTCCTACCTTGTTCTTTGAGCCAGCCGCGCTCCTGAACGAAGCCCATGAAGGGGGCGATGCCAGTTCCCGGGCCGACCATGATAACCGGGTTTGTGGACTTGAAGGGCAGGCGGAACTGAGACTTGCGGATGTACATGGGCACCGTGGTCTTGTGTCCGTTGTCGGTTGGCATCTTGCTCTTCAGCCAGTTAGTGGCGACTCCTTTGTTGACCCGGCCTGTCTTGGTCTCGTACTCCACCACTACAGCACAGATGTGGATGCTGTTGGGATGAACCTGTCATAGGCAGAAAACACTTCAATACACACCAGAATCATCCGTGTAGAAACGTCATTTCAACTTTTTTTTCTCCATTGCACTCTCTGTACGGTGTAGGGCTGAAATGATTAGTCAACATTATCGTATTGTCGACAAATAGTTTTGTAGTCGAGTAGTCATTTGATCTCATATGATCTAATGTAAGAGCCGCAATAATGTGGTATGACCAGTGTGGCGCTGTAGTGCAAGACTGTTATCTATCCCTCCCAGATGTAATTCAAGAGAAGACACAGCGCTTCAGAGCAAACACAGCCGAACCTGAAGCTGCTGAACAGCGTTTGGTTGAAAATGTAAATATATGCTGTGTGCTGTCCTTGCAATAACGAAATAAACAACAAAAACTGACAGCGGTGAGAAAGCAGCAGTTAAGAAAGCATCTGATTACAGCGACGTGATGTTTGCACGAGCTCTGCAGTTCAGTACTCCAGTAAAGTCCAGTCACATTTATTTATATAGTACTTTATGCAATAGATAGCCTTAAATCAAGCAGCTTTACAGCATTAAACATGAATTATGATTTTCTGTTATACAGCAGCTCTTCGGTGTGGAGCTAGCTAATGATAAAATCTTTTTATAAGTGGGAAAAAAATATTATTTTATTAAAGTGATAGTTTGGTTTGCAAACTATTTTGATGATCATAACCCTATAAGGTATTTTAAGAGAGATTATGCTGTGAATAAAATAGCTTATCCAAAAATAAAACGACTTATCTTTATTATGTTTCTTATACGACTTACAAAAGGAGATGTTAGGCAGAATTATGTCATTCAGTTACTTTTTCATATAGCTAATTAAATTAAAACCATAGGCAAAAAACTGAATAAATAAGTTTGACTTAAATTTTTTTAATGGTTTTGTTTATTTTATTGGAATCGGAATTAAGAATCGATAAGAATCGGAATCGATCAAATTCAAACGATACCCAACCCTATGTATGAGTGGAATAGGGTGGGAGATACATAGATAAACATGGTTTAAGTGCAATAAGAAGCAAAAGAGAATTCAGTTCTGACAGTTTTCGATGTGCACACACCTTTGTGTTGCGTCACACAGCACAATTTTTCATGGTTTACTATGTTTAAAGGAATGGTTTACAGATGAATGAAAATTAGTCAAAAATGTATTTCACTCTCAGGCCATGCGAGATGTAGATGAGTTTGTTTCTTGATCAGATTTGGAGAAATGTGTCATTACATCACTTGCTCAGCAATGGATGCTCTGCAGTGAATGGGTGCCGTCAGAATGAGAGCCCAAACTGCTAAAATACGAGTTCATAATCCACAATAACACTTCCTCCAGTGAAAAAGTCCATCTCCTGTTGTCTCCCACATCAAAATCCACCTGCATATTTGTTTAGAGCCGTTTTGGCTTGTAAACAGTGCTTGATCTGATTCAGACCAGAACACTTTTTCACTCGAGGAAGCGTTATTATGGATTATGGACTCAGATTTTAGTTAAAAACGTCTTAGTGCTGGATTTGTTTCAGCTTTTGTCTCCTCAAGACATTAACTGATGGACTGGAGTGGTGTGGATTACTTGTGGATTATTGTGATGTTTTTATCAGCTGTTTGGACTCTCATTCTGACGGCACCCATTCACTGCAGAGCATCCATTGCTGAGATGCAATGACACATTTCTCCAAATCTGATGAAGAAACAAACTCATCTACATCTCGGATGGCCTGAGGGTGAGGACATATTCAGGAAATTCTCATTTTTGAGTGAACTATTCCTTTAACAGTCAAATACACCAAAATGCCTGTCTTGGCGAGTATTTACATTTCCGCAGACAAACCTGCCTGAAGAACTCTTTATTTCATTTGTATATTTGTTCTATTATATTTGTCCTGTTGCATGCAATAAGTTTCTTTGTTTTTGTTTTATTACTGACCGTTTACCTGTCTTCAGTAATCCACAGAACGTTTTTCTTATATTAAGCTAACATTATATAAAATGCATAATTGTACATTTCAAATTAATCTAAAATATTGCCAATTATTTCCCCCCAAAAAAGCAGCCCTACAAATGACCTTTTGCATTTTAAAATGATATTGCATTATTTGGAAAATCAATTGTGATTGGTCAGTATAATAATGAGCCTTTATCCTGTTATGTCAGTGCAGTGATAAAAACTCCCTTGGGCTACAGTGTATGAGAGAAAAACATCAATTATATGCTTTATATTATATGCACCTGATTAAAGCACATAGGAAGTAAAGGATCAGAACAAAAGTTCAAAGCAATCACTTTCAGTTCATTTTGAATACATTTACGAGATGGCTCAGCCTCCTTTTGCCTCCTCTGTCTCTGATACTGAAGAAATACTCACAAATGTTGAAACCAAGGAAGCACTTAGCAGCGTTTTCCTACCTTGTTCTTTGAGCCAGCCGCGCTCCTGAACGAAGCCCATGAAGGGGGCGATGCCAGTTCCCGGGCCGACCATGATAACCGGGTTTGTGGACTTGAAGGGCAGGCGGAACTGAGACTTGCGGATGTACATGGGCACCGTGGTCTTGTGTCCGTTGTCGGTTGGCATCTTGCTCTTCAGCCAGTTAGTGGCGACTCCTTTGTTGACCCGGCCTGTCTTGGTCTCGTACTCCACCACTACAGCACAGATGTGGATGCTGTTGGGATGAACCTGTCATAGGCAGAAAACACTTCAATACACACCAGAATCATCCGTGTAGAAACGTCATTTCAACTTTTTTTTCTCCATTGCACTCTCTGTACGGTGTAGGGCTGAAATGATTAGTCAACATTATCGTATTGTCGACAAATAGTTTTGTAGTCGAGTAGTCATTTGATCTCATATGATATATGAGATATGAGACGCAATAATGTGGTATGACCAGTGTGGCGCTGTAGTGCAAGACTGTTATCTATCCCTCCCAGATGTAATTCAAGAGAAGACACAGCGCTTCAGAGCAAACACAGCCGAACCTGAAGCTGCTGAACAGCGTTTGGTTGAAAATGTAAATATATGCTGTGTGCTGTCCTTGCAATAACGAAATAAACAACAAAAACTGACAGCGGTGAGAAAGCAGCAGTTAAGAAAGCATCTGATTACAGCGACGTGATGTTTGCACGAGCTCTGCAGTTCAGTACTCCAGTAAAGTCCAGTCACATTTATTTATATAGTACTTTATGCAATAGATAGCCTTAAATCAAGCAGCTTTACAGCATTAAACATGAATTATGATTTTCTGTTATACAGCAGCTCTTCGGTGTGGAGCTAGCTAATGATAAAATCTTTTTATAAGTGGGAAAAAAATATTATTTTATTAAAGTGATAGTTTGGTTTGCAAACTATTTTGATGATCATAACCCTATAAGGTATTTTAAGAGAGATTATGCTGTGAATAAAATAGCTTATCCAAAAATAAAACGACTTATCTTTATTATGTTTCTTATACGACTTACTAAAGATGTTAGGCAGAATTATGTCATTCAGTTACTTTTTCATATAGCTAATTAAATGGTGAATAAGTTTCTCATTTCGTGTGCCAAATATATTTATTTGCATACATTAATAGTAATTACATAATAGATTTTCAAAAGCTGAATTGATTACTTTTATTTATTTGTTAGAATATATATAACTCAATATTTTAACTAATTGCAAAAGCTGAATAGTGAAATTCTACGGATTAATCGTTCTAATAATCGGTAGATTAATCGGTTATCAAAATAATAATTTGTTGCAGCCCTGTAGGGCCAGTATTAGTATTAGAACGTGATTAATCGTGATTGTCATGCGCATTTTCAGTAAAGACAGTTCTGTGATTAGTAGTAAATCTCCATCACCTGCTTTCAGATGGAGCAGCATTTACTACACAGAGCCGTAGTTCTCTGACAAGCCATGCAAAATCACGTTCATAATCGCAGACGATATAATCATAGGATTATGAAATCGACGAAATCGTTCGTGATAACGACAGCTGTTTGCATAGCTTCTCAGTGAACTACGGCTCTGTGAAGTAAATGCTGCTCCATCTGAAAGCATGTGAAAATACCACATTTAATAACATGTTTTTACTCCAAACTCACTTCATAACGTCAGTCGAGTGTTTGAAATAAATCCTTCTGTGAGATGATGTGGCTTCTTACACAGAATAAGGCACGCAACATATTTCATAGCATTTAAGCAGTGATAAAGGCATTGCATTATAAATATACTTTATTATGATGAAAATTATAATAAGACGAACTCATATAAACCATATTTTGCCGTAGTCGTTTGTTTATTAGTCACGTTGAATCAATGAAAGAAGTTTATTCAGCTGCAGCGATAGATATTTTCTGGGTTTCTTCTGCGAGGCGTATTTGGAGTTTCAGCGTGAGAGCACCCTCAAGCCTTCAGATGGAGATTTACTGCTGATCACAGAACCGTGCTTCACTGAAAGATACGCATGACAATCACAGCTTCAGCCTAATCGCGATTTATTGCCTTTGCGATTTAATTTAGATTAATTGTGCAGCCCTACTTAGTATGGTGGAATCATCACTGAAGATAGCAAGAGAAATGTTATCATTTGTAGAAAACACACATATTCCATCTTGAACACTAAAGTAAACTGTCTCTGACCTTTGAGGAGGATGCGATGGAGTAGTAGCGGGCCTGCAGTCGAGGCAGGAGCTCACACAGGTGATCGATGGGAGGCCGCAGAGACGGCAAATCCTCCAGAATAGCCAAAATATTCCTGCAGGAGTCCAGCACCCAGCTCTGGTACAGCGCCTGAGAGGAGAGAAAGACAGCGTCAGACACACATCACACCGCCGCAGAATTACAGTCAAACTCACACCTATAGTCCCATTCACACACAGGGAACTAGGACTAGGCAAATCTTTCATAAAACATCAATTGCTAAAACTTTTAACACTACAATATTTACACAGAATTAAGTTGCATTGAAAGATAAAAACTTTTGTGATAATGACGCTTTGGCTTCCATTTTAATCACCAAATGTCATAAAAAAAAAAAAAAGAAACTACAATTTTAATCCACAAATTATGACTTCTATAATATGTCAAAAAATAGATCTGTCTTTCATGCCAGAGAGCATTTACTGATTAACATATAATCTATTATGAACAGGGGAATAATAAACTAATATCAAATTAAGTGCAATAATTAGCGCTCCATAATTCTCACACCACCCTATTTTGGGTAAAAATAGGAAAAATAACACTTCTCTCTAAAAACATTTGTAAAAGTAAACATATGCAAATCCATAAGTTTTTCTTCAGTGTACAGGAGTTGTTTTTTTCTTCAGTGGATGCATAAGATGCTCATATTTCATATTAAACAAACAAACCAAAAAAATCTGTCACAATTAATATATTCATATTATTTAAATCTATTATTCATAATAATCGATTTTATAATAACACCTCAGCCTTTTCTGATGATTTTATATTTATAGTAGCTTGTACTGTACAGTACTGCATGTTAACAGGTCACACTGTAGTTTTCTGTAAAATAAGAGTGTTACTTGATTGTTATTATTATTTATTACTACAATTAATTTATTATAATGTGTATTAAAGCAATAAGCCACAAGAAGCGACGCGAAGCGGAGTGCCTAACAACGGCCCTTAGCTGTCAGAATCAGAATCAAGGACCGGAACTCTCCGTTTTAGAACAAATATTTTATTTTTTTTATTTTGTTTAATATTTCTTAGCAATAAGCATCATAATTATCATTAGTCATACTGATATATAACACTTTTGCCCAAACTGTGCAGCCCTAAAACAAGCACAACCTGGTGTTCTTCGTAATGTTTTGTTTCTTTGTTTTAAAAATCACATTTTAACCAGAAAAATTGCAATTAAGACTTTCTCCCCACATCATGCAGCACCAAATCAGTTTATTGATGGTTATTTGTCAGATCATGTTGTGTTCTGCCACCTCAAGGAGTTTTATTAATGTAAAAATATAGCCTGCCTCACTGTTGTGTTCAAGCCTGGTTATATATGTGAGCCAGGAGCACAAAAGCAGTGTTAAGTCGCTGGGGGATATTTGTAGCAATAGCCAACAATACATTGTATGGGTCACAATTATACATTTCTCTTTTATGCCAAAAATCATTAGGATATTAAGTAAAGATCATGTTCCATGAAGATATTTAGTAAATTTCCTACCGTAAACATATCAAAACTTAATGTTTGATTAGTAAAACTGATGTATAAAAAAATATTTTGTATTCAACATTTTGAATGCAGTTACTAGAGTTCACACCGGTTATCAAGTGAACAGTCATCCTGGTTATCCATCTCTTCAAAAATCAATAAAGATACCAAAGGCCCATTTAAATGGACAAATATTTGCATAGTTACTTATAGTGCATAGTATTATTTATAATTTTGGTCACACTTTATTTTGAGGACCATTTCTCACTATTAACTATGATTTTTGCCTCAAACTCCTAATTAGCTGCTTATTAATAGTATTGCAGTTGTTAAGTTTAGGTTTGGGTTCAGATTAAGGGATCTTTTTTTAAGACATTTTTATGTGCTTATGCACCGATTGACCGGCATTAGCCCTTTTCCCGCATGATCGGCCCGGACCGGTCTGTTTTGACGTCACACTTACGGTGACTGATCACGTATTTATGTCGTGCTAGAAAAAAATAATAATAATTATTATGTCGTGCCAGATGAGGCTTGCTCAGCCTGAGTGGGACACTTTTGTATTCAACATTTTTATATATATATATATATATCATTTCTATTAGTCTATACAGAAATTTATAATATGATTTAGGTACACAACATTGCACGAACAAAATGTTTCAACACGATTGCAATGTGATTTTATACAACAGTAGTTCAATAAACCAGAAGTTAAAATGAAGTGACTTACATTTTAGACACAATATTGACTGTTTTTGCTCAATTTTGCTGATGAAAGTAGTTCCAATCAAAGCCACAGCAGAACCGTTTTATGTCTCCGAGCAACACAGCGGTGTTTCGTTTTTGAATGAATCACGTGAGTCAAATGATTCAGAAACCCATTCATAAAGACAGTGGTCACATGCCTTGTTTGAACGAATCGGTTGAATGAAGGACTAAATGACTCACTCATTCAAACAAACAGTCATTTGTCGCCACCTACTGGTTTGGTTTCATATTTAAAACTATCATTGCATTTTTCCCAACATTTATTATTTGCATGTTTAAAAATATTTAAAACATTAACCGTATAAAATTCTTTATGCATTCGAAATTTTGCAGTGTAAATGCATTTACGGCACCTCTCAGCTTCATCAAACAGTCTGTGTAAACACATCTAATGCTACTTCAGATGCAGCTTCTGTGTCCTCTGCAGTGGAAAGATGGAGTTTGTTGATGCTGACTTCATTTGAATGGTAACAACTCTACAGTTTCTTATTATTCTAACTGAATTCATTGAAACAAAGTAAGAATTTGATATAGCCTACAGCAACTCCTTTTCAGTTATTTGTTATTTCTGCCTCTTTTCTAGTCACAGAGCACTTTATTTTATTAGTTGTTTTTGTCCAGATCGGGGGATTGTAATGTTTAATAATTTTTTATTATGCAAAAAAATTTTTTGCATTAAAAAAAGTATAGATTTTTGTTTGTATAAGCTGTCAATTATAGTTTTTAGAAAGAAAATCGTAATCGGCAAGTCACACTTACAAAAAAATCGGAAATCGGAATCGGCCAATAAAATTGCAATTAGTGCATCTCTGTTTATAAGTATTAATAAAAAGCCAATATGCTAGTAATATGCATGGTAATATGCAACTAGCTAACAGTGAGAACTGGTTCGTTCAATAAAGTTTTGCCATATTTATTTTTAGAATGCATTCATTAAGGTTCTTTGATTGTCTTATATTACAAATTGCAATCCATTCATGTCCATTTATATCCACATTGATCCTCATGTATTATAAATTCTTGGCAACTGACGCATAATGTTGTGAAAACATACAGTAATGTCAATTTAACTATTCATGGTTGCACATGGTTACACACTCTAAAACGTTTTAGATGTTAAAGGGACAGTTCACCCCAAAAAATGGAAATTCTGGGGAACAGAAAATGTTTGGTTACCAACATTCTTCAAAACACCGTCACAAAAAATAGTTTGCACTTACCGGAAGAAAGAAACCGGTTTGAAACATCATGATGGTGAGTAAATGATGATGAAGACAGAATCTTCATTTTGGGGTGAACTGTCCCTTTAAGTGCAAGTGCGGCGCTAGATAGCGCTACAGGGTCATTTTCATTTTTGTGCAGAAGCCTAAACACAACTGTGCAAGAAAGTTTGATTCCAAATTTTGAACTGAAGTCATTTTGAATAAAAAAGAAAATTGATTTTTTTTATTTTTTATTTTTATGGAATCAAGCATTTATTCCTGTAGACGCCTACGCATTAAGGCGATTTTATTTGTGAGGTTAGTTGTTGTTATCAGCTAATGTTCATTTACAATGTTTCCCTCCTGCACCTGATATAAAAGGCAGCACTGGAACTAGCAGGGAAGAGAGAAATTATATGGAAAAGCATGTGCACCTCATGAAACATACCTAAAGATAATTTTGGATCCCTATTTTAGGTGGTAATGGTCTTAAAGATTAAAAAAGTAGAACTTAATTTAAATATTGGAAATAATATTTTCATTTCAAATGATGCATTCTGTTATGCATATAGGCTATATTTTCAATGCAAAATGGTGAAACTAAAAAAACCTAGATATTACGTTTGGCTGTTTAACAATTTTAAGTGCAAATCAGTGTAACACTTTATTTTATAGCAATAGCAATAAATGATGCATAATACCATGCAACTAACCCTAAATCAATCCCTTATCCAAACCTAACCATACAGTAGGTACATGCAGTTAATTATTTTTCTGTACTTATATAATTACACTGGAACAAGGACACAAAAATAAAGTGGATAACACTTTAAGTTGTCCTTGTTACACGTTATGTACTATTATAACAACAATAAATTATGCATAATTACATGCAAGTAACCCTAAGCCAAACCCTATTCCTAACCCTAACCATAAAGTAAGTACATGTAGTTTATTAATATCACTCAGTAGTACTTAAATATGTATAATTACACTGTAATAACAAGGGCACCTTAAACTAAAGTGTAACCCAATACAGTTGTAAATACTAATATCTTTATTATTCGTGACCCTGGACCACAAAACCAGTCATAAGGGTCGATTTTTTTGAAATTGAGATTTATACATCATCTGAACGCTGAATAAATAAGCTTTCCATTGATGTAAGGTTTGTTAGGATAGAACAATATTTGAAAAAAATCGAAATATTGAGAAAATCATATTTAAAGTTGTCCAAATTAGGGATGCACGATATATCGGCCACCATATCGGTATCGGCCGATAAATGCTAATTTTTTCTGTTATCGGTATCGGCCTGATAAGAAAATTTGGCCGATATCTTAAAGCCGATAAATAATGCATTATTTCCTTCAGAGACACTTCAGATGCGCGCTGTTCGTTTGCAGCCTTTTGTGCAATTGTACGTTGTAATATTGTGTTTATTTGATGTATATCTGATTTATCTCATATAGAATGCGTTTGGTTAAGTTAAAAAGAGCGCTTCAGTTTACCGGTGATAAACTCAAACAGCAGTGCACAACATTAATAACTATGATTGGGAATGTCGTGTATATAAAATTCTAATGAGAACATTATTATAATAAAACGTTGTGAATTCTATGGGTTTAGTTGCCGTGTTTCAGCGCGTTGATATGGGAAGAGCGCATCCACAACAGGATCACACATTCTGACTATAGCATGCAATAACTGCGTCATTTTGTACATATATAAGTTGTAATATTATGTTTATGTTGTATTAATATTAATCTCAGGATGCATTTCCTTGAGTTAAATAAGCTGCCAGCAAAACGCTTCAGTTTACCATGTTCATTCAGCTCTTCAGCTTCAGCACGCGCAGCTCAACGGCTGCTATTTAAAACAGTGGTATTAATTTGTTACTTTTTCAAAATCATCGATACATTATTAATAACAACAACCACTTGTATTGTTCTCTTATTATTTTCATCAACAATATGGTTTAGTAATTAAAATCATTTAATTATTGTCCGTGCAGAGGCTATTCCGTTTTATTGATCTATGGCGCATTCATTTTGATTCTTTACACGTGTAATGATGTCCAGTGACTTGTTTGCATTATTTATGCATAATTTTATTTATTTGTAAGACTTTTTTATGACTAAATTTGGTAATGGGAGAGTAAAAATATTTTTAAAACGTACACCGTTCAAACTAGGCTGCTTATGTTGAAGTGTTTGGGATGTGGCTTTTAATGATGAGCTCATGTATTATAAATTCTTGGCAACTGACGCATAATGTTGTTAAAACATACAATAATGTCAATTTAACTATTCATGGTTGCACATGGTTACACACTCTAAAACGTTTTAGATGTTAAAGGGACAGTTCACCCAAAAAAAATGGAAATTCTGGGGAACAGAAAATGTTTGGTTACCAACATTCTTCAAAACACCGTCACAAAAAATAGTTTGCACTTACCGGAAGAAAGAAACCGGTTTGAAACATCATGATGGTGAGTAAATGATGATGAAGACAGAATCTTCATTTTGGGGTGAACTGTCCCTTTAAGTGCAAGTGCGGCGCTAGATAGCGCTACAGGGTCATTTTCATTTTTGTGCAGAAGCCTAAACACAACTGTGCAAGAAAGTTTGATTCCAAATTTTGAACTGAAGTCATTTTGAATAAAAAAGAAAATTTATTTTTTTTATTTTTTATTTTTATGGAATCAAGCATTTATTCCTGTAGACGCCTACGCATTAAGGCGATTTTATTTGTGAGGTTAGTTGTTGTTATCAGCTAATGTTCATTTACAATGTTTCCCTCCTGCACCTGATATAAAAGGCAGCACTGGAACTAGCAGGGAAGAGAGAAATTATATGGAAAAGCATGTGCACCTCATGAAACATACCTAAAGATAATTTTGGATCCCTATTTTAGGTGGTAATGGTCTTAAAGATTAAAAAAGTAGAACTTAATTTAAATATTGGAAATAATATTTTCATTTCAAATGATGCATTCTGTTATGCATATAGGCTATATTTTCAATGCAAAATGGTGAAACTAAAAAAACCTAGATATTACGTTTGGCTGTTTAACAATTTTAAGTGCAAATCAGTGTAACACTTTATTTTATAGCAATAGCAATAAATGATGCATAATACCATGCAACTAACCCTAAATCAATCCCTTATCCAAACCTAACCATACAGTAGGTACATGCAGTTAATTATTTTTCTGTACTTATATAATTACACTGGAACAAGGACACAAAAATAAAGTGGATAACACTTTAAGTTGTCCTTGTTACACGTTATGTACTATTATAACAACAATAAATTATGCATAATTACATGCAAGTAACCCTAAGCCAAACCCTATTCCTAACCCTAACCATAAAGTAAGTACATGTAGTTTATTAATATCACTCAGTAGTACTTAAATATGTATAATTACACTGTAATAACAAGGGCACCTTAAACTAAAGTGTAACCCAATACAGTTGTAAATACTAATATCTTTATTATTCGTGACCCTGGACCACAAAACCAGTCATAAGGGTCGATTTTTTTGAAATTGAGATTTATACATCATCTGAACGCTGAATAAATAAGCTTTCCATTGATGTAAGGTTTGTTAGGATAGAACAATATTTGAAAAAAATCGAAATATTGAGAAAATCATATTTAAAGTTGTCCAAATTAGGGATGCACGATATATCGGCCACCATATCGGTATCGGCCAAAATTTTCATATCGGTGCATCCCTAGTCCAAATGAAGTTCTTAGCAATGCATATTACTAATCAAAAATTAAGTTCTGATATATTTACAGTAGGAAATTTACTAAATATCTTCATGGAACATGATCTTAATATCCTAATGATTTTTGGCATACAAGAAAAATCTATAATGTTGACCCATACAATGTATTGTTGGCTATTGCTACAAATATACCCCAGCAACTTAACACTGCTTTTGTGCTCCAGGGACACATTTTGACATTGATGAGCATTGTTAGACTACTAAGGGTAACCAATAAATATAACTTTATCCCACAATTTCACGTTGGCCTATAACAACACAGAGAGCGTGTGTAATGGAGCTCAGCAGAGCAGCATTGTGAACATCAAATATTAGAGGGAGCATCCGGCGGTTTCTAGCTATTTGCTGGTTACAGTCCTGATGTGCGTCACCTGATTTTGGAGCCTGTGATGTCCAGCTCCAGGTGCATCAGGTGTCTGTCTCCAGCCTTATTGAGCTTGCGGTTCACAGTGACCGCAGCCAGGAAAGGGTTCTTCGAATCAAAGGGCCTGTGAGAACAGACAATGAATGACAGAAGGTAAACCATGAAGTCTTCACCAGGATCAGAGGTTAACCAGGGCTCACAGCAAACATACCACTACATATGACAAAAACTGACCCCAGACATTACAAACCTGCTTGCAAAACTGCACCTTTTTATCTGTTATCTAACATCGGAAAGTATCGTATTTAATAACATTATATTATCATATTATAATAATCATATCATTTGATTTGGCAGTTGCTTAATCTTGCATTAGTAATTCAGTATTCAGTGCTTGTCAACAGTTTGGAAACATTGATTTTTAAATGTTTTGAATGAAGTTCACCGAGGCTAAAGATTTATGTGCTCAAAAATACAGTGAAAACGGTAATATTGTGAAATATTATTACAAATTAAAATACGTGTTTTCTAATCATTTGCTGATTTTCTGCTCAATTATTATTGGTGCTCGGTTCTTAATAATGCCTCTTATTATTATCAAACTTAAATACAGTTTTTGCTCTTTAGTATTTTAGATTCTTTGATTAATAGAAACGTAAGAAAACAGCCTTTACTTGAAATAGAATCTTTTGTAACATTATAAATGTTTTTACTGTCACCTTGAGCAATTTAATGCATATTTGCAGAAAAAAAACATTAATTTCTGTAAAAAAAAAAAAAAAATTGACTGGTAGTATATCACGGTTTCTGCATAAATGCTTAAATATGAAGCAGCACAGCTGTTTTCAACATTGATAATCAGAAATGTTTCTTGAGCATATTAGAATGATTTCTGAAGGATCATGTGACTGGAGTAATGATGCAGAATATTCAGCTTTGATCACAGCAATCAATAGATATTCACATAGAAAGCACTTTTTTAAAATTGGAATAAAACTTACTTGAAATAGAATCTTTTGTAACATTATAAATGTTTTTACTGTCACCTTGAGCAATTTAATGCATATTTGCAGAAAAAAAGCATTAATTTCTGTAAAAAAAAAAAAAATTTGACTGGTAGTATATCACGGTTTCTGCATAAATGCTTAAATATGAAGCAGCACAGCTGTTTTCAACATTGATAATCAGAAATGTTTCTTGAGCATATTAGAATGATTTCTGAAGGATCATGTGACTGGAGTAATGATGCAGAATATTCAGCTTTGATCACAGCAATCAATAGATATTCACATAGAAAGCACTTTTTTAAAATTGGAATAATATTTCATAGTATTAGTGCTTTTACTGTATTTTGGACCAAATAAATACAGCCTTGGTGAGCAGAAGAGACTTCATTCAAAACATTAAATGTTTCCAAACTTTGAATATTTCAAGTATACTGAATATTCACCGTCTCATATGCAAGTAATTGAATTTTATATTTAACAGCCATAACTGAAGAACACATATTTACTTTGATAGATTAATTCAGTGAAATCCATTTCTAGGGGTAAATATTGTCTCTTAATAAAAGCGTTTCTAGACCATATCACAATCTATACTATAAGCAGATAAAGTGTCTTAAACAAACATTACGTCTCCGTCCGATCAAATTAAGTGCAGCTGAAGTGTTCGTTCTGTCATCATGGTTCATGAGAGACAGAGGTTTGTGAATGTGGGAGGGGCTTCAGATCAAGCTGCTGTCAGTCAGAGAAACTGAAGGAAGTGCTTTACTCACGGCTTCTGGTTCTCGAAGCTCATGAGGCGACCCAGCTCTCCGGTGTAGACCTTATTCATGTTCAGATCGCTGTGTACCTTCAGCTCATACTGACGGATGCTGAGATGCACAGAGAGAGACAACAAACGAGTTTTCAGTTAGTCTGGGTTTCAGTCTGAAAAGGCCTGTAAGAGTTGGTAATGAGCAGAGCAGGGCATGTTCTCCGGTCAGGTCACTGTGACCTGCTAACAAAGGAGGAACGAGCTGAAGAGAGGACTGAGCATTCAGACCTGGATTCTTCTCCCGTCGCTTCGACTCCAAAGTGTTCACACACAGCCGGCCAGAACTGCTCTCTCCACGACACGAAGTCCTCCTCAAGACTGAGAGAGAAACAACCACAAAAGATCATTACATACAGTTCTCCACATCAGTTATTCTCAACTGGTAACTGCACATCAAGAACTGACTCGACACAGTCCCACAATTCATCATATTGAGAGTAAACAACAATGGCTCTCATTCACTATGAACAAGTGCATACACTCACTCACACACGCGCACAGACAGACAGACTCACTCACTCACTCTACTGTACAGACCGTATATTCTATTGCCCTACACCAACCCTACCCCTAAACCTACCCCTCACAGGAGACTTTCTGCTATTTCAGATTTTCAATACACTCCATTCTGTGCGATTTATAAGCGTTTTGAAAAGTGGGGACATGGGGTAATGTCCTGAAAAGTCACCTTCTCCTTGTAATACCTATGTTATACCTTTATCATTATACACATTTATGTCCTCATTTGTCACAAAAACGGGCACATACTCACACAAAAAACAAAAACACTCTCTCACACATACACACAAACAAACAAACAAACACACACACACTCAAAAAACAAAAATACACTCTCTCTCACTCACACAAACAAACACACACACACACACACACACAAAAAACACTCTCACACATACATACACACAAACACACACACAAAAAACAAACACACACACACACACAACAAAAACACTCTCTCACACATACACACAAACAAACACACACACACACACACTCAAAAAACAAAAATACACTCTCTCTCTCTCACTCACACACACAAACACTCACACACAAAAAACAAAAACACTCTCTCACACATACACACAAACAAACACACACACACACACACACACACACACTCAAAAAACAAAAACACACTCTCACTCACACAAACAAACACACAAACAAAAAAAAAACACTCTCTCACACATACATACACACAAACAAACAAACAAACACACACACACACTCAAAAAACAAAAATACACTCTCTCTCACTCACACAAACAAACACTCAAAAAACAAAAACACTCTCTCACACATACATACACACAAACAAACAAACACACACACACTCAAAAAACAAACACACACACACACACACACACTCAAAAAACAAAAATACACTCTCACTCACACAAACAAACACACAAACAAAAAAAAACCACTCTCTCACACATACATACACACAAACAAACAAACACACACACACTCAAAAAACAAACACACACACACACACACACACTCAAAAAACAAAAATACACTCTCTCTCACTCACACACACACACACACACACAAACTCTCACACTCAAAAAACAAAAACACTCTCTCACACACACACACACACACACACACACACACAGACAAAAAACAAAAACACTCACTCACACACACACACACAAACAAACACACACCCACACACACAAAAAACAAAAACACTCTCACACACACACACACACACACAAACACATACACACACACACACAAACGTTCTTAACCTTGTTAATAATGCAGTATAAATGAGAGATGAGATCATGTGAAAAACCCAACAGGCTTATCTTGATAGTATGGCTGTGTGACAAACTACATATCAAGATCACAATACAATTTATGTTGATAACGATAAGCTCTGGACATTTTTACTCTATATGGATGAACCTAACGGTCAATCACACAGCAGAAATAATCATGACGTCTTCATGTCCAACCCGGCAAAATAAAGGTTTAGTGTAACTTGAAGAAACCATGACAAATATATTATATACTAAACGTACTTTTCAAAATAATAATCATAATAGTAAGGAAAACCAAGAATTT